AGGACTTATGCTTGAATCTCCAATAAAACGGTGGATTGGAGAGTGAAAAACGGCCGAAAATATTTGCCCTGTAGTAAAATCGATTGGCCTGCAGATTTTACCCCTTCTTTTCCTTGAGCGTTAAAATTGAATATGAAGTTTTTATTGATTTGGTTTCTGAAGATTTTCATTTCTGTAAGCTTTAAATTCACCTGCTGTAGTTTTATATGGAACTGTTCGCCAAACTTAGGTTGTCATAGGCAGGTCAACTTTAAAGTGTATATGATGTCTGTACTTGTATGTAGTTTCCTACATACAAGTAGTACATTTCATTTTTAGCTAAGAAAGTACTCTTTCCTCCAAAGAATAAATTAGAATGCCCACTAGTTCAGCTATAGGTCTAACAGTTATTTTAAAAGCCGGTATCCCAAAACAGGCATCACTACATTTCATAAAACATGATTCCTCCAGGTAAAGACATGAATATTAGAATAGGAATGAATATACCAGATTTGTCAGAATGTCATTAATGGACACTTAGCCCTTTAATTGACCGGAACTCAGTTCTTTCTAGTGACAACAAATTACTCATTTACAAGACCCTTTTGAGTCCCATCCTCTTATATGCCTATCCTGTTTGGGGATATGCTAGTCTAACAAATGTAAAGAAACTCCAAATACTTCAGAATATCTTATTCAGACAAGCGGTGAATTGTCGATGGTTCGTCAGAAACTCGGCAATTCACCAAGAGCTTGAAGTACCAACTTTATGTGTTTATTTTGCTAATCTCGCAGATAAATATTTTAAAAATATACCAAATGTTAACAATAGCACGATACCAGTGCTAAATTATGTCTATAATTCTGACAGTAATAGAAAACGGCCGCTTGCGGTCCTCAGATTATCTGGATAATTAACTGTTATTCTTAATACCCATTCACTCAGTTTTGACTTCCTAATTATACCTATGCACAATCTCCCGCTGTATTGCTTTTCTTGATGTTTGTATATATTTATTTGTACATAATTTGTACATAATGTATATATTTTCCTATTCTATGCATTTATGTTTACTGTCATTTTATGTCATCTACTGCTATTTTGTTGATGCAACACATGAAAAACTCTCAAATCCTGTGAGCTAAGGCATTTCTTTTTATGCCCGACACGTCAATTCCTTATCATGCGCATTTATCTTCGCCTCAAGGCCTGTACCGTAGGTGTGTTTCTGTCGGACTCGTATTTATGTGCTCACCCATACTGTGTACTGTTCTGAACTTTCATTTTCTTCGAAGTGTCTCATAAACTGTTCGAACACTCAAAGAATCGAAAAATCGAGCAACCATTATGCCGGTCTACACGCGGGCACCCGTAACAGCGAACCTTATCGAGTTTGCCTGAGCCGACATAAAATGAACGTATGTTTCTCTCATATTTAAGTAATTTATGACTTGTCACGTTGATTCAGTCACGTCGATGCAGTCAGGTAACGAAACTAAAGCACTTATATCAACAAGCCCTCCTACATTCCACTTCAATACTCATGAGTGATAATCTTCTTTCTTCATTTTCGAAAGCTGCAGGGCGGGCAGATCACTTGGTTGCCATTGAAATATTTAAAGCAACGATAGATAACAATGCTAAAAGCTCTTTCATTTGTTATTTTCAAAACAGTGTTAAAAACAACTTTACCAGACTATCTTCAAGGCATAGGTGTGTTCTGAATGGCAATCGGGCATGACTATATTGCTGCCCACTTGAAAGAGGATTGGAATTTTCTGCAATTTTGGTTTCATGGATAATGCCCATCTTCTTCTTTGTCCGGCTGCAAACGTTCTGCATTCAAAAGCTATTGGAAGGTGAGAGATCATATGAAACTTTCTTTATGGTATTTTAACCTGCCACCGTTAATAGACTAAATTCTGGTCCTACTGCAAATATTTTCCCCATGTACTTTATTGCCTAAAGATAAGTTTCCATAGACTTCTTGTGCACTGGACAAAAATAGTAAAAATTTATATCGTCAAGCAGTTCCCATATATTTGGAGCCAATTATTGATGTTGGATCTGGGGTAAAAAAGTATGATTGTACTAATCAGAAAGACATGGATGAAATTCAAGCCGAATTTTTAACTCCAAACTTTTAGATGTTGGGATTTATTGAATCCATTGACGCTGCGTACAGATAGGAGGCACATTGCTATAAATAGAGGGATACATGGAAGGTTCACCTGCTCAGGGATTCAAGATTTAAACAATAATAAGCTTCTATATTTCACCCTTTAGGCAGGTTACAACATGTTGCTCATTTAGGTAGCTAAGTGAATAAAGGCAAGCTGATCATCCGAGCAGGATGGTGCCATCTTAACCCATTGCCCACCATTAATACGCAGTAACCGGTGAAGTCGTGTGTTTACAACTGATATGTAGCAGTAATATATCACTATTTTTCCTGGATAAGGTAAAGAACAATTCGTTTTGTACATTTGCGAGTTTTTACTACCTAAGTAGGGAAAAAAGAAAATTCGCATGTGCAGAAGTAACGTTGAGAATCAATGCCACATTGCACTGTTGAACTACGTATAGAATATATTATACAATGGCATTAAAATAATTCGAACTTCCATGTTTCCCAAATGGGGATCTGTAAAAAAGGTACTTAATTGTAAACAATAACTAATTTTTGTGGTAAAAATATTTCAGCCATGCCTTAAATACCTTATTGTTCTTGTGACTTATCTCACTTATCTGACAGTAACATCAGCACCTAATCAATGAATTAATGAATACTTAAATACTTAATACTTTACTTTATTGTAAAACTTAACAAATCGTAAAATGTATAAGAGAGCGTTTATTATATGACTGATATATTTGACATTATTACTTCAAGAAAGAATAAGCAGAGTATTGTTATAAAAAATCAGAAATTGAGTCCTTAAAGAAAATAATTTCATAAAATTTGAAATAAAAGAACAATTAAACAATAAGAAATTCTGTTAGAATTGTAATTTTTGCTTTAATAATTTCAAACTTAATTTAAAGTCAAGTTTTCCTTAGAGCACTTATCTTCACATCAAAACGGAGCTTTTGTAATACGTAAAGTGCATTTTAAGTGTACTGGTCTTTTAATTTTAAACATCTGGTTAGCTATTACCTCATTCGCTATGAATTTTGTATCAAACAACAGGTTGGTGAAGAATATTAACTAAGCTGGTTCTCATTTCAGCGCGACAAATTCTGGAGAGTTTCTCTAATATGCCTAAAAGTATTCAATAAAGTTCTTTTAAATAATATTTTATGGGTTAATTATTTCTAGTATCCAAAGTATAGTACTTTAGTTTAAAATCTTTATTAATTTTCATACTTTTAAAAATCTGTATGATTAGAAAATATGAATTGTATAAAGTATTTACCTGGGTTTACCTTAGGTAAGTATTTGCCTGAGCATAGGAAAACGGTAATTTTACCGAAATAGTGACATTTTTCTAGTTTTTAACATGCTTTTTAAATTTGTGATGCTATTTAAAATTATGTTAATATTTTTTAAAGGGAACATTTTATGATACCTTTAATTTGTCAAAGTGGATTTCTGTAATTAATAGGCTAATTAATAATTCTAATTCTCTAATTAATTATAATCTAAGTAGTAAACTGTTTCTTAAATACTTACTTTTAAACTAGTTTTCGAATCTTTTACATTCTAGAATAGGACTCGCGAAAAATTCTCGAGAAAATTACGGTTAGGTTATTTAATTACGGCAAAGCCTCAAGGGCTATCTGCCTAAGGGAAGGGATGCATTCTTGGAGGACTTACTAAGGGAAACTTGCTCGTATACACGTTACACATGTAGAAAACCACGAAAACACCCATGCAGCCAACCCGTTGGCGGGATTCGAACCTCGGACCGAACTACCAGTGTTCAGCAACTTTACCGTTCGGCCGCTGGTGTGCCCCGATGACAGTTGGGTACCATTGTTCTTATTTCTTATAATAACAGTGTTCTTCTTTTCGAGGTAAGTTTTGCGATACAAAGTTTTTAAAATATGTTTTGTTAAAATAACTAACCTAAGAGATACATTTCTTACATTTAGAAAACTTTTATCACAGTTGAAATGGACTGATGAGATATCATCGTGGAAGTCTTTACAAGGGAAACTTGCTCGTATTCACGTTACACATGGGTAAAACCATGAAAATCAACTACCAAGCCGGATCCTTCGCTTGGGTTCGAACCTGGATCGAACTACCAGCGTTCAGGGGTCTTAACCATTCGGTTTGGTTTGGTTAATTACTGCAAAGCCTTGAAGCCTATCTGCCTAAGAGAAGAAATGCATTCAAGGAGGACGTTCTAAGGGAAAATGACTCGTATACACGTTACACACGGAAAAAACCACGTAAACTAAGGGACGCTTATGCAGCCAGCCCGTTCGCGGGATTTGAATCACGGACCGAACTACCAGTGTTCAGCGACTTTACCACTCAGCTGCTGGTGGGCCCTTAACCGCTCGGCAACTCGCGTGGAGTGGCACGTGAGTTATTTATTCTTAAAAAGAATCCCCTGTTAATAATAAGAAAAATTTTATTCCTGCGTAAGTTTTATTTCTGTGGGAAAGGAAATTTTGAAACTACGTCATCGAATCTTTTTAATCTTTTAATAGTTTACTAAATTCGAAAGCATTTTAGAGTTTAAGCGAGTCACGTGTATTCTAAACTTTCTCAGAATGGGTAAACTATTTTTTTAAATAATACCTGCATGTGGATCCAATAACAAACTGTTGCTGTTATAAAATATTCTAAAATTTTACTTTTAATAATTCAATTTTGATTACACATCCTCTATGAAGTTTGCTTCACTTAACCAATAGTATAAGATTGCTTGAAATATGTACCTAATCAACTGTTGAATGGGTCATTAATTATAGCAAAGCACAAGATAGTATTTTCGTAAATGCAGGGATGCTTTAGTACAAGATTTTGTAAACAGAATATGTACATATAGGAAAAATCTTACGTTACCATGGGAAAAACTCGTGGTCTTCCTCAAAACTTCATGTATCCAGTTTCTTCAACCTTAGAGTCTGTTCAGCCAACTCTGGAATTCAATAAAAAATGCTTTGTAACTTGAGTCACATGACGACTAATAAGTAGCCAAGTTAAAGTTGTTCAAAACCAATATTTTCATCAGGATTTTGATTTCAGACGGAAAGAATTAATTGCATGAAAATGTTTCCTATCTCCTTTTCATACATCAGATGAATATGAACCGATTTCAGTATAAAATTAGGGACTTTAAATAACCAGGAAGTAAGTAGCCATGCACACTTTTTCGTCTTTGAAACCTATGCATTAGTTAGGATGAAAGCTTACTGAGAACCTACTACGTATAATTTACACAAGATTTTAAATTACTCAGATATATTGTGATACCAATACATATTGATGACCATTAGGATATCGGGGCTAGAAAACCTTAAAAATCAATCTTGGCCTAGTCGTATTCGAACTACGAATCTTTTAATAGCTCGCCAGGCATGCTTATCCCTTACAATACGAGACCACGTATGAAGGTATGATAACTCCTTACATTGTTCCTCCACTGAAAGGGCGATTGGGGAGAGGAAAGAGATCCAGTCCCCAAGTAGTGACAATTATAGCACACTATACATTTTAATTTAGTCGCCGCTTTAGATAATGTCAGGATTTTTTGATGCCCTGGCCAGGATTTGAACCTTAGTTTTTCTATTTGCTAGCTGGGTGTGCTAACCACTTATATCATGAAAGCGTCCAGGAAATGCGAAACTTCCCCATGTTATGTTTAAATAGTTTTCTGTTATTTATAATACTGTAAAATATTGACACTGCGCCGCATGAAAAGGGCTGCTTGGTGTGGTAAGCTTTGTTTGCTTGACTATGTACGGTAAAGCACAAGAAATTTATTTGCCTAAGAAGGGACTACTTTAGTGGAGTACTTTCTAAAGGAAACTATTTTTTTTTAGTTTAACTGTAATTTACAATATTTTTACATTACTTTTATTAAGAGAACTGAGAGTATTGCTTACTTCAGAAGTTAGATATTAGTCATATACTTTTTCACATCTTCGATGAAAATAATTTTATATAATCTTCTCATTCTAGTCAATAAAAATATAATAAACCTTAAGAATACTTAAATGTATAGCTATATAACTGGTCGTATGTAAATTAATTTGTTTTTAACTTTAAGATAATAAATAGTGTTAAGTAGTAGATTTGGTATTCAATGCGTTAAGCATATAATTTCACTTCGCTTGCAATGTTATTTTTTATAACATATGTATTTCCTTCAATAAATATGTCTGAGAGTGGGTTTTAATAAAACACAAAATGTTTGCACATTTTGAAAAATTCGTTAGTGAATTTGTGTGCACGTGTTTTTCAATACCCTTGCATAATAACGATAAAATGTAATTTTTTGGGTTTTTCATATTATTATGTTAATAATACTTCATTTTAAGTGTTAACCATAAACAATTTCCCTCTAATATCATTGTCACTGCATAAAGGCGCTCACTATACATTTGCACGATGGCGCCGATTACTATCATTTGTCTAACGTGTTGACTTAAAAAAAAAACGCAGTAGTATAATATCATAATGTTATACATATCCATGCATATCAGCGTCGCCTACGTGGATTTAATATCATATATTTGAATACCTGGAAACTGATGAAAATCAGAAATCAGATACCCTAAAGCTCATAAATGTGTCGCACTTCTGGCGTAAAGCAGAAGCACGTGTGGGGTTCATATGTACACAGTAGTGCGTATCAAGATGAAAAACCACAGACCGGAAGGGTGGCCAGTGGACCGATGAGCCCTTTTCCTGTCTTCTCATTTTTCCGGTGCTCTATGGTGCGTAGTCCCTTCGTTAATTTAGTAAATAACGCCCTCCCTACAAAGCTCCCTTTCGATCTGCCGTAAATAGAAGCAGCTTCCTTCTTTCTATGCAAGGGTATTGAAAAACATGTGCACACAAATTCACTAACGAACCATCGACAATAAATCCGTCTCGCTTCCGAAACATGCCCCTGGTAATAAGTAGATGAACTTTCGGCGCGTTTCGTTTACGTGTATTTATATCATAAAAATGTTCAACCTCAGCTACAGGTCCGAAAAATTAATTTTCGTACTGTTACGAATTTCGTTATGGCGGGTAGGGTTAGTGATATTTTAGGAAAGCTAATTCAGGACACTTTATGAAAAATTAATTTCAATGATAAGAAAGCCTTAAAGTTTTTAAATTAATGCGGCTAATGAAAAGTTGACAAGATGAGATTAAAGTCAATTGAAAAAAAAAAAAAAAAAAAAAAAAAAAAAAAAAAAAAAAAAAAAAAAAAGGATTTTATTCAACAAAATTATCCCGAATACTAAAACATACAGTGCGTTTTTCAAAAGACTATTGTGTAGATATAAATAAGGAGAATTATTTATAAACTATAAATAAATTACTCACTAAGATCTCAAAACTTAGTGGGTAGCTTACCTTTATCCGAAAATTTCTTGGCTTTATCTTAAAATACTTGATTTATCTTAAAGTACTTGATTTATCCTAAAATAATTGACTTCATCCTAAAATATACCTATGGTTCCGATAAAAATATTGACGAATTTAATGCTTAGCTTTCATATATTATCTTCAAATTTCAGCTCATTTAAAAATCCCTGACATTTTTTTTATCTAGGGCAAAGCCCCGCACATAATTAGAATCCGACACCTGTCCAGGACAATACCAGCCGCCTGTTAATCCTGTTTCTAGGGCTTCAAATTACTCGTATTATTAATATAAATTTAGCTTAGAGTGTTTCCATACTAAAATTACATAATTATTTTAAGCCAGTATTTGAGTATATGAAAATATTCAAAAGCTTTACCATTGCTTTCCTAATTTAATATTTTTTTCTACCTTGAGTGATAAAAATATGTCTATGTATTCGATTAGAAACAGAGTATGAATATTACATACAAATGTGAAATTAAACAAATAATATTCTAATTCTTTAAGTAAGAAATCATATGTTACGATACTCTATTTTCTACCTATGTCACCTTGATCGCTATAAAGACTAGCGAAGCTGGTTGCCATACTATTGGACCCGGGATCGAATCCTGATGAGGGCGTAAAGTACGTAATTCTCTATCGCCCTTTCTTGCGAGTGCAATATCAGTCATTCTAACTGGTACCCACTTCTCAACGCTGTCGGTAATAAGACCGCTAAATGACCGACGAATTCGATCATACCTGTTAAATGTTTAATTTATAAATGTCCCTGCAGAGTTTTGAATTATTTATGAAATTATTATGTTTGCTTTTTGCTGAGATTAGGAGCACCCGCCACTTAGTCTCTCTATTTTCCTTTTCATGATACATTATATTATACTACCTTGGAATTATCGGTATGACGGATTGGATAACTGACAATTCTGTGAGTTGTTGTTATTCATTCATCAGGAGATCTTTAATCACGTGAATTGTCAAATTCACACTTCTAAAAAGTCGACAGCTTAATTTGTGCTCAGCATTATAACAGTAACCTGGAACAGATCAGAAACTGAATAATTATAATCTTTATTTTATACCTTGAAAATGAATCCTGAGAAAATTTCGTCCAAAAGCAAAATAAAAATTAATTTTTTTTGATGAGTAAAGTAACATGGTTTCTTAAAACAGAAAGAAAATATATTGTTGAAAATTCAGCTTTTTGATAATGACCCAAACTTTGACAAAATCTGGAAAGAAAATTCAGTGCCCATTAATTTTGCAATATATATGAGTAAAAGTTTAGTATTCATTCTTACTGAGTCTCTTTAATTAATGTCTACGTAAAATTCAAGGTTATAACTTATTAAAAAGGTAGTTTAATAATTACTTATTAAATTACCTTTAATAAGTTTAAAAGTTATAAGTTATAACCTTTAAATTTATTAAAGGTTATAATTTATTTAATTCAAGGTTATAACTTAAGTTCGCTTCAAGACTCTAATTAGAGTCCTAAAGCGAACTATGGAAGTTTATTTGCGGTAAACGTAATTCTTTAGCACCTGGATTTGGCCAACTGAGTCTCGAGCTTCTCACCAGTAACTTAAGTGAAGAAGTTTGTAAGAAATTATCACGTTTCTCCGTGCGTACTTGGTAGCACGGAGAAGCTTGTTGGTAGTGTAAACGCTCCGTGCGTGCTTGGTAATGTAAATGGTAGCACGTCCAGCTAACAGCTGGGAGACCGCCGAGCATACGGCTGGTTTTCATATCTCTTGCTTCGAAAAGTTTGAAAACATACATAAATGAACAGTATTTCTTCAATTATGAGATTTTATGTTTCAAAGCGCTTTGTTTGGAACGATGCTTTTCCCACATTTTTTTTTTTTTTTCGTTTGGTTTAGTAAATTAAGAGAAAATCAAACGTAAATTACTTACTCATTACATTTTTTTCCTCATTGCATCCTTTTTCAAAAAATCATCTCGTTGCATCCCCCCCTTTTTTTTAAAGCCCAAATGCACAGGGGCCCCAAATTAACTCCTGTATAATCAACTCCTGTATTGAAATCAATGAAATGTATAATCAACTTTTTTACATTATCCTTTTTTCGTTTTGAACGAAACGTTACTACACATATTACTATCAAAATAATTCGGTAGATGGTTTGGGTTCTATTTAATCACCTTGTGGTCCATTATCCTTTGTTCTTTTTAAAAGAAGCACTACAATATTGCAATCACTATCAGAATAATTTGGCAGATTGGGTATTTTTGGCAAAGTTCCCCTTTTCTTGAAGAGGGTAATTTCTTCGTTCCCTCCTTTTCTATTAGGGACCATACGAGAAGAGCAAAATTCTCCCCAAACAGTCGATTAGAATTTGAACTACGCCAGGACTTAATTATCTGGCGTGCTCTCTTCAAACTGGATGCCGTGCTGTAGGGCGGATACTTTGGAATTTCCATTGATTATGCAAGAGAAGGAATGGCCTGTGCGACCCACAGGGCAGATGCTAACAGGAAAAGCAATAATGATTGCCCTGTCCGGTCAAGTGATCCGAAATGTATCGCTATGAGAT